GGGGGGGGGAGTGGTGGTGGTGGTGGTCATAGTTGAAGGTGGAAGAAGAAGAGTTATGTTGATTGGGGCGGTATGTTTAAAGTGTGGGGTTAAGTTTTATATTGACTATTATAAGGTGGCTAGGGAATTATGTTGCATGCTTTTGAACCATTTGGGTGGCATTGGTATAGCCAAGATTATTAAAAGAGTTGATTGGAATGGTGTATTGCCAGGAGAACAAGAAGATGGAATAAGCTTTTGGAGATGCCACCTATAGCTTGTGTTAGTGCACATGCATGGGAGGAACTGCAAAGCTTTCGAGGGAGGCATGCTGCCCCTTTGGAGAGATAAAAAAGCTTGGTGTTGAATATACTTTTTCCACCGAACAAAGCTGTGATGCCTTAAAATGTTAATTTCTTCATCTCTTTAATGTTGTGTTTGGTTTGTGAATTCTGATAGGAAGTTGAAAAAAAAAATGAAATACAGCCATATTTTTCGTTTCATGATACAATAATTTACTCTTCTCAATGTGTGTGGCTCATGCACTGTGCCGCCCTTTTAATGATTGTTAACCTGGGTGTCATTTGGGAAGAGGGAGGGGTTGAAACAGGAGCTGATGTTGAAATTAGTGTCTTAGCTGGCAGTATTGATTGGGAAGGATCAACAAGCATTATGTGATTATTGTGCTTTGAACAATCGTTCATGCAATCCACAGGTATTGGTGGTGAGTTGACTGAAGAGGTTCGCTGTGGGTTTGTCTGTGGTAGTCAACTCTGATTAGTTAAAGAAGATGGAGACAATTAGAAAAATTGTAACTGTATTTTTGTTCAAACAAGATTGAGCATATTAAGAAATAGCCACCTATTGCAGCATATTAAGTGGAAAATATTGAACTGGTAATCCAGTGGATAGTTCTTAAACAAATTTCCTATTGCAGTAAAAGAATTGTTGAAGTGCAGTCCTCTTAAAGTTATGCCTATGGTAGTTTGTAAATTGGTATTTTCCTTGCCCATAATTTTGGAGTTAGCACACTTGTCCGTGTGGTACTCAGATGGCAGTGACAAGGCTTGGTAGGAGAGATTGTGGCTGCCACATAATTGCGACATTAATGAAGACTATGGTGGTGTTAGCAGCAGCATTGATATTCAGTTGACTCCTAGTTGTCAATGGTGTCACTCATTTCTATAACTTCAGTAATATCCTTTGTTTCCTCTGTCATGTATTTGTCGTGTTGTCTTGTATTATATTAGGACTCATTAATTTTTTTGTATGAGGGGAAGAGAGAGTTGGAGGGAGGAAGCAACTGGTAGGAAAGCAATCTATATAACTTCGGTTGGAATGACTTAAAGTTGTTATAACAACCCTGATCATATTTTGTCATTGTTTTTAACGGTGGTTTAGTAATGATTTTTGCATCAGGTATTACTGAGAATGGCAACAGAGAAAAACCAAGATGAAATGCTACCATCAGCTGCTGCCACGACTCCAGCCATGGCATCATGTCGAAAAAAGAAGTCCACGGATGCCACTTTCTTGGAGGATTTGAAGGATCACATGGATGAGTTTATTTATGCTTCCATGGACGAACACAAAACTTGCTTTAAGAAGACCATCCAGAAGGTTAGCCTTAACTTCCATACTCATATGTATCATNTAACTTTTTGAGATGTAAATTAGAAATAGAGAAATTTTCCCAAAAAAAAAAAAAACATGATAGTTGAGACTAGAGAGGATAATATAAAAAAGTTATAGTTGAGATTGACCCTTAACTGAACCGCCTTGTCTCGTTAATTCAGTCTTCATGCACACCAGGCCAAGTAGTTNCGTTACATGGTATATCTTCATTTCTTTTTATGCTCCCTGCATATCAAATATTCCCAATGCACTTTCAGATGTTTGGAATGTCAAAAGTTGTTGCTGAAAGGAGTTCCAAGGCGAAGGAAGTTGAAAGTTCTTTGCCCCTTCAAACAACCTTGTCTGAATAGGATGTCTTNTGTTCGTCAAGTCCGACCTCTTTGGCGCTCTATCTTTCATTCTCTCTCTCTCTCTCTCTCTCTCTCNGTAGTTCGTCAAGTCCGACCTCTTTGGCGCTCTATCTTTCATTTTCTCTCTCTCTCTCTCTCTCTCTCATCGTCATCTAAGGTAAGCTGACATCTCGTAATTTCGGTCGAATTTTCAACTAATTTCAATTCGTCTTAATTGAACTTGCTTCTATGTTGCCTTTTTTGGTTATCCTAAATCGAATGATATGATGTTTATTTATTCTTGTATTGCATACTTGAGAGTTTAAATTTGTATAAAATCGAAAATCGAAACCCTAGGTCACTTAAGCTTATCAATCGCGAACAGTGTTGATTTTAGGCTTTTTCCCCACGATTCTTAATTGTGATTACTACGGATGAATTTGCTTTTCATGAGGGTTTGATGAATGTCTGGGTTAATGTACACACACGCACACACATATAGATTCTAGTTATGCAATATACTTGTATTAATGCTTAAATTCTTGTTCGGTATTACTCGTTACACTGTAGTGATTCATGGTAAAGTAACCATTGCAAATAATGTGGTGAAATAAGTGAAGGAGCTCATATGAATAAGAAGTAACCATGATGAAGAATTTTTGATAATTCCATACTGAGTAATATATTCAGCACTGTAGCTTTTTTGGGAATTCAGGGGTCATCTGACTTTATATCAAACATGAAACAGAGGGAAATAGTGGATAAATAGGGAATAAGTTAAGTGATTCATAGCAAAAACTGTTGGGATTAAATTCAGATTTTGCTAAGAATGTGTGAATTCCTAGTAATATTATGGATCTTTAGAATGATTTGAGTGTAAAGGGACGGATCGATATTTGCTTGCCACCATTAGAATCATAATGATTAGGTTGTCCTCCATTGGTTTATACAAATTAGTTTTCTGATCAACAACATTGCGCATGTAGGTCGATGACTTTAATCAACTTTTATATTTGTTCTATATACTTCAACCTCATAATCCTTGATTTTTTTAGAGTAGTATTCTCGGATGTTTTAGATATTCACAAAATTGTGGTGGGATTGCAACTAGGTTGTGTTTGACAACATGGAATTACGGTTGTAATTGGGAATTAAGATGTAGGTAGAAATTTAAGTCGGTTTTCTTCTGATTTCAACGAGTTAATCTTAGGATCATAACACGGTAGGGGGACCCAATATTTTGCTTATTCCCATTAAGACTCCTCATAATTCTTTTTTATTTTTTAATTATGAACAGAGATACCCTATAATGACTTGACAGTTAGGCCTTTTATCTTCTATTGGCCTTAAAAAGAAATACATTACCAATGATTGGCTCAAAGGAGTCATTCCTTGAGTGTTGTCTTTATTTAGTGAGCTTGATGGGGATTGGAGATGATGAGGTATGGTGTAGGGGGATGAAGAACAGAGATCTTTGGCTAAGGCAATCTATTGTTTTGCTGTTTCTGAAGAAGACTGGTGTTTATTTATTTATTTGGGAGGGAGGGGGGGGGGGGGGGGTGGNTCGTTTCATGATACAATAATTTACTCTTCTCAATGTGTGTGGCTCATGCACTGTGCCGCCCTTTTAATGATTGTTAACCTGGGTGTCATTTGGGAAGAGGGAGGGGTTGAAACAGGAGCTGATGTTGAAATTAGTGTCTTAGCTGGCAGTATTGATTGGGAAGGATCAACAAGCATTATGTGATTATTGTGCTTTGAACAATCGTTCATGCAATCCACAGGTATTGGTAGTGAGTTGACTGAAGAGGTTCGCTGTGGGTTTGTCTGTGGTAGTCAACTCTGATTAGTTAAAGAAGATGGAGACAATTAGAAAAATTGTAACTGTATTTTTGTTCAAACAAGATTGAGCATATTAAGAAATAGCCACCTATTGCAGCATATTAAGTGGAAAATATTGAACTGGTAATCCAGTGGATAGTTCTTAAACAAATTTCCTATTGCAGTAAAAGAATTGTTGAAGTGCAGTCCTCTTAAAGTTATGCCTATGGTAGTTTGTAAATTGGTATTTTCCTTGCCCATAATTTTGGAGTTAGCACACTTGTCCGTGTGGTACTCAGATGGCAGTGACAAGGCTTGGTAGGAGAGATTGTGGCTGCCACATAATTGCGACATTAATGAAGACTATGGTGGTGTTAGCAGCAGCATTGATATTCAGTTGACTCCTAGTTGTCAATGGTGTCACTCATTTCTATAACTTCAGTAATATCCTTTGTTTCCTCTGTCATGTATTTGTCGTGTTGTCTTGTATTATATTAGGACTCATTAATTTTTTTGTACGAGGGGAAGAGAGAGTTGGAGGGAGGAAGCAACTGGTAGGAAAGCAATCTATATAACTTCGGTTGGAATGACTTAAAGTTGTTATAACAACCCTGATCATATTTTGTCATTGTTTTTAACGGTGGTTTAGTAATGATTTTTGCATCAGGTATTACTGAGAATGGCAACAGAGAAAAACCAAGATGAAATGCTACCATCAGCTGCTGCCACGACTCCAGCCATGGCATCATGTCGAAAAAAGAAGTCCACGGATGCCACTTTCTTGGAGGATTTGAAGGATCACATGGATGAGTTTATTTATGCTTCCATGGACGAACACAAAACTTGCTTTAAGAAGACCATCCAGAAGGTTAGCCTTAACTTCCATACTCATATGTATCACGTTACATGGTATATCTTCATTTCTTTTTATGCTCCCTGCATATCAAATATTCCCAATGCACTTTCAGATGTTTGGAATGTCAAAAGTTGTTGCTGAAAGGAGTTCCAAGGCGAAGGAAGTTGAAAGTTCTTTGCCCCTTCAAACAACCTTGTCTGAATAGGATGTCTTGTTATCCTTTGGTGATAGCATGATACCTAACTATGGAATGATTTAGAGGGCTGAAATTTACAACTTTTGGTATATATGTGAATTTTTGGGATTGTCTCACTTGTTAGGAGTATAGATAGGGGGGAGAACTATTTTTTTGTTTTTCCGGTATTGGAGGTCTTATTCACAAGTTAGTTTGAGTAAGCTTTTCTGGCATGTTGCTATTATTTAGCAGGTGGTTGGCAACTGATTAATATGATGGTGAAGCTGTTGTATCACTTGCAATGAATGAATGATTCAATGAGTTGGAGACGCAAACGAACCCATGCTGTTATGAGTGAGAGGCATTTTTTTATCTTAGAAATGGTGGTGGAACAGCTTCAGGCTTCTGCAATTGGGCTGTGGTTGATGGGTTGAACCCATTAGCTTGAAAATGGGCCCAAAACAAAAGTGGCTTGTTTTGGAGGGCACTTTTAAGATTGTTTGGTGACTATACTTAAGAGGATGGACTAAATTTGGCCCGTAAACCACCCTACTATTTGCCTCGGATATTTTGACTTATGGATGAATTGGAGGAAAATTACTTGAAATACTTGAAAGGCTAAGTCTGAAGTTTTTAACTTGGCCATTGGTCTAGTGGTAAACCGTAAANATTTCGGTCGAATTTTCAACTAATTTCAATTCGTCTTAATTGAACTTGCTTCTATGTTGCCTTTTTTGGTTATCCTAAATCGAATGATATGATGTTTATTTATTCTTGTATTGCATACTTGAGAGTTTAAATTTGTATAAAATCGAAAATCGAAACCCTAGGTCACTTAAGCTTATCAATCGCGAACAGTGTTGATTTTAGGCTTTTTCCCCACGATTCTTAATTGTGATTACTACGGATGAATTTGCTTTTCATGAGGGTTTGATGAATGTCTGGGTTAATGTACACACACGCACACACATATAGATTCTAGTTATGCAATATACTTGTATTAATGCTTAAATTCTTGTTCGGTATTACTCGTTACACTGTAGTGATTCATGGTAAAGTAACCATTGCAAATAATGTGGTGAAATAAGTGAAGGAGCTCATATGAATAAGAAGTAACCATGATGAAGAATTTTTGATAATTCCATACTGAGTAATATATTCAGCACTGTAGCTTTTTTGGGAATTCAGGGGTCATCTGACTTTATATCAAACATGAAACAGAGGGAAATAGTGGATAAATAGGGAATAAGTTAAGTGATTCATAGCAAAAACTGTTGGGATTAAATTCAGATTTTGCTAAGAATGTGTGAATTCCTAGTAATATTATGGATCTTTAGAATGATTTGAGTGTAAAGGGACGGATCGATATTTGCTTGCCACCATTAGAATCATAATGATTAGGTTGTCCTCCATTGGTTTATACAAATTAGTTTTCTGATCAACAACATTGCGCATGTAGGTCGATGACTTTAATCAACTTTTATATTTGTTCTATATACTTCAACCTCATAATCCTTGATTTTTTTAGAGTAGTATTCTCGGATGTTTTAGATATTCACAAAATTGTGGTGGGATTGCAACTAGGTTGTGTTTGACAACATGGAATTACGGTTGTAATTGGGAATTAAGATGTAGGTAGAAATTTAAGTCGGTTTTCTTCTGATTTCAACGAGTTAATCTTAGGATCATAACACGGTAGGGGGACCCAATATTTTGCTTATTCCCATTAAGACTCCTCATAATTCTTTTTTATTTTTTAATTATGAACAGAGATACCCTATAATGACTTGACAGTTAGGCCTTTTATCTTCTATTGGCCTTAAAAAGAAATACATTACCAATGATTGGCTCAAAGGAGTCATTCCTTGAGTGTTGTCTTTATTTAGTGAGCTTGATGGGGATTGGAGATGATGAGGTATGGTGTAGGGGGATGAAGAACAGAGATCTTTGGCTAAGGCAATCTATTGTTTTGCTGTTTCTGAAGAAGACTGGTGTTTATTTATTTATTTGGGAGGGAGGGGGGGGGGGGGGGGTGGNTTTCTTTTTATGCTCCCTGCATATCAAATATTCCCAATGCACTTTCAGATGTTTGGAATGTCAAAAGTTGTTGCTGAAAGGAGTTCCAAGGCGAAGGAAGTTGAAAGTTCTTTGCCCCTTCAAACAACCTTGTCTGAATAGGATGTCTTGTTATCCTTTGGTGATAGCATGATACCTAACTATGGAATGATTTAGAGGGCTGAAATTTACAACTTTTGGTATATATGTGAATTTTTGGGATTGTCTCACTTGTTAGGAGTATAGATAGGGGGGAGAACTATTTTTTTGTTTTTCCGGTATTGGAGGTCTTATTCACAAGTTAGTTTGAGTAAGCTTTTCTGGCATGTTGCTATTATTTAGCAGGTGGTTGGCAACTGATTAATATGATGGTGAAGCTGTTGTATCACTTGCAATGAATGAATGATTCAATGAGTTGGAGACACAAACGAACCCATGCTGTTATGAGTGAGAGGCATTTTTTTATCTTAGAAATGGTGGTGGAACAGCTTCAGGCTTCTGCAATTGGGCTGTGGTTGATGGGTTGAACCCATTAGCTTCAAAATGGGCCCAAAACAAAAGTGGCTTGTTTTGGAGGGCACTTTTAAGATTGTTTGGTGACTATACTTAAGAGGATGGACTAAATTTGGCCCGTAAACCACCCTACTATTTGCCTCGGATATTTTGACTTATGGATGAATTGGAGGAAAATTACTTGAAATACTTGAAAGGCTAAGTCTGAAGTTTTTAACTTGGCCATTGGTCTAGTGGTAAACCGTAAACGTTTAGGGTTGTTCTTGATTTTTATATGGTTATCAAATAAAGTTTGATTTATGGGAGTAACGTGGTTTGAAGTTTAACTTTAGTGGTACTGTGGGGACGAGTTGTCTTTCCAAATTAGTAGTTATGATTCAAACCGAATATTTCGTAATAAGGGAGATTTTCATGGTCACATCCAAAGGGTTACTAGCAACTGGTCGACCTTTTCCCTTATTCCTAACCAAAAATAAAACTTGGCCCTTTTTTTNAGGGACGAGTTGTCTTTTCAAATTAGTAGTTATGACTCAAACCGAATATTTCATAATAAGGGAGATTTTCATGGTCACATCCAAAGGGTTACTAACAACTGGTCGACCTTTTCCCTTATTCCTAACCAAAAATAAAACTTGGCCCTTTTTTTATATAAGAGTTTTGTTCATTAAGTATTTACATTTTCTCCAATACACTTTCATTTAATTTCTTTCAATCATCACGAATTTAAATGTGACTAACTTATGTAGTGGGTTTGCCACTAATAAATTGTGGGTGTATGACATTGAGAAAAAAATATATTTAAGAGAATTTGAATTAACTTATTCAGCTATTGTTCCGATCATTAGACCTTTAGCTCCAGACCATGACTTGAAAAGCCAAGAAGAATAAAGCCACGATGACAGTTGAGGCTAAAGCATATGACAAAGCAATAAGCTAAAAAGTCNAAGGAGTCATTCCTTGAGTGTTGTCTTTATTTAGTGAGCTTGATGGGGATTGGAGATGATGAGGTATGGTGTAGGGGGATGAAGAACAGAGATCTTTGGCTAAGGCAATCTATTGTTTTGCTGTTTCTGAAGAAGACTGGTGTTTATTTATTTATTTGGGAGGGAGGGGGGGGGGGGGGGGTGG